GCAGACTCACCAGCACCTGAGGGAGCAGACGCACCTAGAGCAGCAGCCTCGCTAGCACCTAGAGCAGCAGCCTCACCAGTACCTAGAGCAGCAGTCTCAATGCCCGGGTCGGGCGGAAAACACCGGTAACAGTCACCCTCATCACTAATAGTCACAGTATACATAGCAGCAAGAATAGCATCAAAGTCAAGGTCAAAGACAGCGACACCCGCCCTAGACAGCTCACCCCAGCGGGGGATCTCAGTGGCCTCAGGGAACTGGTGACGCCAAGCGTCCGTCAGGCGGCCAAAGCAGCGCTGGGTGGAGTGCGCACCCCCGCACTGGTCACCCGCGCGGTCGCCGGTGCGGAGGACGTAGGTGCACGGACCAGTACCCCCACCCCGCTGGCGTGCAGCGTACCACTCACGGAGCTGCTGAGGGGGGGGGATGTCACGAGTGCGCTGCTGCTGCTGCTGCTGCTGCTGCTGCTGCTGCTGCTGCTGCTGCTGCTGCTGCTGCTGTTGGCGCTGACCACCACCGGAGCCGACCCTCTGCGCAGCGCCACCCCGACCAGCTCCACCTCCTCCGCCGCCGCCTCCTCCACCGCCGCTACCTCCGCTCCCACCGCCACCACCGCCGCCGCCTCCGCCTCCACTGCCGCCACCGACACCTCCACCCCCACCACCACCCCCACCGCCACCCCCACCCCCTCCACTGCCTCCACCGCCGCCTCCACCGCCCCCGCTAGCTCCTCCAGTGCCCCTGCCCCCCTTGCCCTTGCCAGGGCGGCGTCTCCCGCTAGGGGTAGACGCCGCACCGACCGACTCAAGCCCAACGAGGTCGGCCGCAGCAGCAGAGGCAACAGAGGGCAAAAGGGGGGAGGGGGAACACCCCTCAAAGATGGGGGTGCGAGGGTCACCACGAGAGGCTCCTACAGCGACTATGCTCTTCTCTGCTGCTAGGAGGGACTTCTCGAGGAGGTCAACGGTGAGAGTGGTGGGGCAAACTGAGAGGAAGTGGTCCCTGACTACGCGAAGGGAGTCAGGGAGCCGGGTGACTATGTAGTAGAGGGTGATGTACATGGGGGGGGGGTTCTTGGCGCAGAACTCAGCAGGAAGCGCAGCGCGGTAGCGAGTGTCACTAGTGCGGAGGTGCGTAATGAGGTCAGCGACTGTGGGAAAGGCAGCAAGGTCAGGGAAGAGGTACGGTAGCATGAGGCGGCTCAGTGCAGCAGTGGCAGGGGAGGAGTAGCGTGCAACTACAGCGTCGTACAAGGTGTGAGCACTCTTGTACTGGCTAAAGTGCGCACGCTCAGAGGTAGGCAGGTGGCGACGCACAGCAAGACGTGCAGCAGCATCGCGCGTGGCCCACTGTGAGCGAACAGTGGCGTCAGCATCAGCAGCGGGGGCAGGGGAGGCACCAGAAGTGAGGTCAAAGAGGGAGAGGCCGTCTGCTCTGTCGCACTGTAAGAAAAGCTGCAGGTCATCTATCCAGACGTCAAAGTCAATGGCCCGACCCTCAGCGTCAAAAGCGAGGACACTAGGGGTAGCCATGACAGCAGTAGACTAGCAGCGCAAACAGTAGGGTGAGGGCAGTGCTGTGAAAGAGGCGCTGCTCTTACCGGACAGGGCGGCTCGGGTGGCTCGGCTGCAGGGCGGCTCGGCGGCTCGGCTGCTGGGCGGCTCGGCGGCTCGGCTGCAGGGCGGCTCGGCGGCTCGGCTGCTGGGCGGCTCGGCGGCTCGGCTGCTGGGCGGCTCGGCGACTCGGCTTCTGGGCGGCTCGGCTGCTGGGCGGCTCGGCGGCTGGGCGGCTCGGCTGCTTGGCGGCTCGGCGGGGCCGCTGAGAGGGCGGCGTCCGGGGCCGCTGGGAGGAGGCGGCGAGGCCGCTGAGAGGAGGCGGCGGGGCCGCAGGTAGGTGGCGGGGCCGCAGGTAGGTGGCGGGGCCGCGGGTAGGTGGCGGGGCCGCTGGTAGGTGGCGGGGCCGCAGGTAGGTGGCGGGGCCGCTAGTAGGTGGCGGGGCCGCAGGTAGGTGGCGGGGCCGCACAGGTAGGTGGCGGGGCCGCGGAGGGCGGCGACGAGCCGTAGGGGGCCGTGAGGGGCCGCGGGAGGGGCCGCGTAAGGGGCCGCGCGAGGGGCCGTAAGGGACGGCGCGAGGGGCCGTAAGGGGCGGCACGAGGGCCGTAAGGGCGGCGCGACGGGCGCGACGGGCCGTAAGGGCGGCACGAAGGGCCGTAAGGGCGGCGCAAAGGGCCGTAGGGGGCGGCGCGACGAGCCGTGAGGGGGCCGCTAAGGGCGACGCGACGGGGCCTTGAGGGGCCTAGCGAGGGCGCGACGGTAGGGAGAGCACACAGGGCGCGACTCGGGCCTGAGCGAAGCGCGCTCCGGGCAGGAAAAAAAAAAAAATCGTGGTGGTGGGCCCTAGGAATAGTTCCCACTAGGGAACCTGCTCGATACCATGAGAAGAAACGAGGAATGGGAATGACTAAGGGAAAGTTGGGTACAAATACAAACCCTAGAAAACTGTACCCCATATGTGCTACCCCACTATAGCCTACAGTAGCTCTGTCATATAAATCTGACACTCTCGGGCCAACACTGCTGATGTCTTCACCAAGGCCCTTGGGTCTGGTGATCATCACCGTTTCAGCACTGCTCTTGGGCTTGTGCCCACTCTGCCTCACCTGCTGGTTGCTTGACTTGCTCTTGTTGTACACTGCTATATATCTTTATACCTGCATGTTTCCTCTTGCTAGGTTGTGATCTGTGTACTGCCTTGCTATTATAACTCTGCATGTGAACTGGCCTTGTGGCCGCCTGCTTGTGCTCAGATTGTGTGGTGTCCTTGAGATCCACCCTGGGCTTTGCCTTGCTTGTTCTCTTGCTTGACTGGTCTTGTGACCACTGTTAGGATTGTCTATCCCCTACTTCACCTATGGGGGTGTGTCAAAACATATATTTCTCTTAATTTCACTCTAGGTTGTGTAGGGTTTATTCCTTAGAGGGTACAACCCAAATTCCCTCGATAGTCTTGTACCCCTCCCTTTTACCTAATCGACATCCTCACCTAGCTCCTAGATTCTAACAAGGATGGTGAGCTTGTACTCCTTCATCACGTTTAGCAAAATCGGCAAGAATCCTGTTATCGGGAGCCACGTAAAGGTTAGGATGCTGTAAATTGTGGAAGACAGAGGGCCAATTCTGGATACGAATATTCTGACACGCTCTTCGAATCTGAATTTGAATGGAGGACTCCGTCCTCCGCGCGATTATTTACCAGTAGAGTTGATGTATTTGTCGAACGTCGTAAAACCCCTTCGTTTGAGCGCTGCTCTAATATTTATCAGGTGAGCTTTCGCATTGTACTTGGCTTTAGCCGCCACACTCAAAGCAGGAGCTGGGATGACGGAGAGAACGAGCAGCGAGATGCATGTAGCCACGAGGAGGTGCTTTGGACTAAATCGCAACATCCTGCTAGGCGTTGCAAGGGTTGGAAATGCTAGTTTCTAAGAACAGGATCGTGGAATGGCGAGGTAGTATGTGCGGATGATAAGTTTCTTTTATTACGTCTACGCTTGCGTGAGTTGCTGTGAAGGAGCGTTACGAATTTGCGCGTGTGTGGGCGGTGCGTTCAGTTGTCGCAGTTGTATGTCGCCCGTCCATCCTTCAGGTTTCACGCATCGGACGACTGGGATGGATCTGGCCTTGCTCAGGTTTCATTGTTGGATCTGGGTTTGACAAATTTGGCCGATGTGTCGCGTCGGCAATTTCATTCTCAACAAGCTTGCTGGAGGAATGCGAGGGAGGCTGTGCATTGTGAACAGTGCGACAAACTTCACGCTCAGCAAATCAAATGTCAGAAAACCTCAGGTGCGGTAACGCTGTGCTGTTTCACCTGGTTTACAGACCGCGAATAACGCCCCCGAGGCTGAGCGAAACCAGTTACACCTTTGGGCTTCGCCAAATATACAATACACATGTATTGTTATTCTGGTATCCAGCACTATGAAAATTACTATCTACTTGCGCATAAAGCAGCTTTCAGTATTCTGTACAAATCCAAAATCTAGGTTATCTGACAGCATCAGGCAATCCTTCCCAATCAAGTTTTGGCGCGAGAGTCTGCTGAAGATGTGTCAGTGATTCTTGCTAGAATCTGCTAGTCTTCTAACACATCTAGATGGTTTGACTTGTGACAATCTACGTTTAGCTAACTTTGACGGCTTGGCGCCGATCTAGAGACCACCGCAGATTAACAGCTGATCTGACTAGCTTGCTGGGGAAATTGCAACCCTTCAACGGATCCTGATACTTGCAAGATCTTGACAGAATGAACGGAGCTGGAGCTGGTGCTGCTCAAGTGGGAGGAGGTTTTGGTGGTCAAGGAAGACCGGACTTCCCACGCGCGTCAGCTGTCGACACTCAAGGGGAGAACGTTCAGCGAAGCTTCTTTGACTTTTTGCAGACGTAAGCAATGTTGCGTACATACATTTTTGTATTCTTCCAGGGTTAGTGCATGCCTTAGCGCGTCGTCGCGTAAAGCCGAAAGCCGTGAGCTTTGATTTAGCAAAGTGCGTTTCTGGCGATTATTTATCTAATCACGGAGTGTTGGAAAACGCTCGACGAAAGGCAGGAATGTCATCACATGAAATTTAGTGCGTCATCCTTCACCAATTCTTGTTAGAACCTGGAAAAGGAAGCATGGAGCTAATGGTGATTTTTTATTCACAAGAATGGATTTCCCGTTGCTATCTTGCTGAATGACGGCCATTCTCAACTGAATTATGGTCGTTGGGGTCTGGTTTTCGGTCAATGACTGCCTGCATGCCGGCCATGAGGGCCTGGTCTTCAATGTCTGGCTGGATCTGGATGGCTTTGTCTGGCTGGATTTGGATGGCTTTGTCTGGCTGGATCTGGATGGCTATGCCTGGCTGGATCTGGATGGCTATGTGTGACTGGATCTGGTTGGCTATCTCTGGCTGAATTGGAATGGCTATGTCTTGCTGGACTGTACCTGGGTGGCAGTGCGGAGCAGAGAGGCGAGGAGCACGAGGAGGATGCGGAGGACGGGCCAATGGTGCGCGAGTACGTGGCGCAGCTGCATTCCATGGTGCAGTACGGCAAGACGACCATGTATGTGGACTTCGCCACTCTAATGGCGCACAACCAGGCGCTCGCCACAGCGGTTCTGGAGGAGTTCTACCGGTGAGTAGCGGTGCAGTGCGGTTCAGTGCGGTCCATGGTGCAGCTGCATTCCATGGTACAGTACGGCAAGACGACCATGTATGTCGACTTCGCCACTCTCATGACGCACAACCAGGCGCTCGCCACAGCGGTTCTGGAGGAGTTCTACCGGTGAGTAGCGGTGTAGTGCGGTTCATCTATGTTGCATTACGCCAAGACGACCATTCACGTGGATTCAGGCACGTGTCTGCTGCATACACATGTATGCACATGTCTCCATGCACGCATGCAGGTTTGAGCCATTCCTATGCAAGACGGTGCAGATGTTTGTGCAGGTGGCGAGCCCAAGTACCTTGCACATATTGGATATCAATTAAGTGCCTTATTCTCCGCTCTTGCATGTTCTTGTATGCATGCACATATCTGCTGCATCCACGTCGTCCATGCTTGCATGCATGCAGGTTTGAGCCGTTCCTGCGCAAGGCGGTGCAGATGTTTGTGCAGGTGCACGAGCCCAAGTATGTGATGGACGAGGGCAAGCCCAAGGAGTTCTACCTCGCCTTCTACAACCTCCCCGTCATCCACAAGTAAGGATTCAAAGTCGCCCCAGGTGTTTGTTCAGGTGTTTGTTCAGGTGTTTTTTCAGGTGCACGAGCTCAAGTATGTGATGGACGAGGGCAAGCCCAAGGAGTTCTACCTCGCCTTCTACAACCTCCCAGTCATTCACAAGTAAGAATTCAAAGTCGTCCCAGGTGTTTGTTCAGGTGTTTTTTTCAGGTTTACGAGCCCAAGTATGTGATGGTTGAGGGCAAGCCCAAGGAGTTCTACCTCGCCTTCTACAACCTCCCCGTCATCCACAAGTAAGGATTCAGAGTCGCCCCAGGTGTTTGTTCAGGTGTTTTTCAGGTGCACTAGCCCATTGTCACCTTCCACAAGACTTCCCCTTTTCGTTTTCCTCCCCTATCATGCTCAGAGACACGCAGGTACAGGTGATGGGCCAGCTATACGCAGTGAGCAGAGCAGTGTGGTTGTCCTTTGTTCTCGTCCTCACCTGTTGTCATCCCTTCCCCCTTTGACCTCATCCCCCCTTATTAACCTAACTCCCCCCCTTTTCAGGCTGAGAGACATGAAGGTAGAGGTGCTTGGTCAGCTATCCGCAGTGAGTGGTGTGGTCGTCCTCTGTTCTTATCCTCCCTCCCCTTCTCCCCTCCTCCTTGTACTGTCTCCCTTTTCGCCCTCCCCTCCCCCTTTCAGGCTGAGAGACATGAAGGTAGAGGTGCTAGGTCAGCTATCCGCAGTGAGTGGTGTGGTCGTCCGAACCTCCGAGGTCCGGCCGGAGCTGCTGTACGGCACGTTCCGATGCTTGGAGTGCGGCGCGGTGCAGCGGAACATCGAGCAGCAGTTCAAGTACACGCAGCCCATCATATGCAGTAACGCAGCGTGCTCTAACAGGGAAAAATGGGCGCTCGAGAGAACAGAATGCCAGTTTGTCGACTGGCAGAGGGTCCGGGTTCAGGAAAACGCAGATGAAGTCCCTCCTGGATCGCTCCCACGCACTCTAGACGTGATTTTACGGCATGAGTTGGTGGAACAGGCACGAGCCGGGGATAAGTGTATCTTCTCCGGAACGCTGGTGGTGGTCCCAGATGTAGCTGCTCTGACCCGCCCAGGGGAGAGGCATGAGGCTATGCGGTCGAATCAGGGGGGGGACGGGAGAGGCGGCGAGGGCGGAGGAGGGGGGGAATTGTTAGGAGGAGGGGGTGGAGGAGCGGGGGGAGGGGGGAGTGAGGGGGTAAGGGGGCTGAAGGCGCTGGGGGTGCGGGATTTGTCGTACCGGCTGGCGTTTCTGGCGTGTTCTGTGCAGTCGGGGGATCAGGAGAAGCAATTGGTGAATATTAGGGCGGAGGACGAGGAGGGCAGTGCTGTCGCTTCGTTCACGGTACGGTGGAGTGCAGTGCGGTGCAGTGTGGTTCAGTTTCATTCAATGTGGTGCAATGCAGTAGGTTGGTGCAAGGTTTCTGGCGTTGACTTTGCAGTCAGGTCAGGGGACCAGGAGAAGCAGCTGCTAAATATCGGTTGCCTTCCTTTCTCTCTCACCTTCCCCCCTCCCTATCTACCCTATCCTGGAAGAATGTGACGAAAAGGCTCGCATGAGAGCACGTGGCAACCTATACGAGCGCCTAATAGCGAGCATGGCACCGTCGGTGTATGGGCATGCAGACATCAAGCGAGCATGGCACCGTCGGTGTATGGGCATGCAGACATCAAGCGAGCATGGCACCGTTGGTGTATGGGCATGCAGACATCAAGCGAGCATGGCACCGTCGGTGTATGGGCATGCAGAAATCAAGCGAGCATGGCACCGTCGGTGTATGGGCATGCAGACATCAAGCGAGCATGGCACCGTCGGTGTATGGGCATGCAGACATCAAGCGAGCCATCCTGCTGATGCTGTTTGGCGAAGAGAGGGGAGTGAGGCTGGTGGCGAGCCTGGCCCCATCTGTGTATGGGCATGCAGAAATCAAGCGAGCATGGCACCGTCGGTGTATGGGCATGCAGAAATCAAGCGAGCATGGCACCGTCGGTGTATGGGCATGCAGACATCAAGCGAGCCATCCTGCTGATGCTGTCTGGCGAAGAGAGGGGAGTGAGGAGCGGGAAGTCCTCTCATTCCGTTGACTGAGCAATCCCCTCTCTCCTCCTCTCACCACCCTCTATGATCCATCTCCCCCTCTCCCAGCCCGAGGAGTGTGAGGAAATGGCTCGCATGAGGGCTGGAGGGAACTTGTATGAGAGGCTGGTGGCGAGCGTGGCGCCATCGGTGTACGGGCATGCAGACATCAAGCGAGCCATCCTGCTGATGCTGTTTGGCGGCGTGCACAAGAAGACTCACGAGGGCATCAACCTGCGAGGAGACATCAACGTGTGTGTCGTGGGGGACCCCTCCTGTGCCAAGTCCCAGTTCCTCAAGTGAGTGAGAGAGTGAGGGAGGGAGTGAGGCAGTGCGTGTCTGTCTCCTGCGCCAAGTCCCAGTTCCCCGCTGCTGTATACACGTCTGGCACGTCCAGCAGTGCGGCTGAGCCGACAGTGAGTGTGTGTGGTGTAGGAGCCGGAGACAGGGGAGTTCCGCAATGCAATGCTCAGAATCTTCTGTCCTCCCATGCTTTCCTCCCTCTATTGTTGCCCTCTGTTCCTCTCTACCCCTCCACCTTCAGATACGTAGCTGGGTTCCTCCCCCGTGCCGTGTACACGTCTGGCAAGTCGAGCAGTGCGGCAGGGCTGACAGCGAGTGTGGTGAAGGAGCCGGAGACAGGGGAGTTCTGCATTGAGGCGGGTGGGATATCTTTCCTCCCTCTCTTTCCCCTTTCCTTTCCTCCCTGAGTCCTCCCCCCCTCCACCTTCAGGTACGTTTCTGGCTTCCTCCCCCGTGCAGTCTATACCTCTGGCAAGTCCAGCAGTGCAGCGGGGCTGACAGCGAGTGTGGTGAAGGAGCCAGAGACAGGGGAGTTCTGCATTGCAATGCTCACAGCCCTCCTTCCTCCCTCTCTTCCCCCCCGCTCTGGTCTGCGTTCACCCTACCCCCTCACCAGGTATGTAGCAGGCTTCCTCCCTCGTGCGGTATACACGTCTGGCAAGTCCAGCAGTGCGGCGGGGCTGACAGCGAGTGTGGTGAAGGAGCCAGAGACAGGGGAGTTCTGCATTGAGGCGGGCGCGCTGATGCTGGCGGATAATGGCATCTGCTGCATTGATGAGTTTGATAAGATGGATATCAAGGACCAGGTGAGAGGAATGCTTTTTCATTCAGGTATGCCTTGGCACTGACTCTTCATGCTGGCGGCTAATGGCATCTGCTGCATGGGCGAGTTCGACAAGACCCTGCGACTCTCATGTTGGCAGATGATGCTGCATCAGATGGATCAGTTGAGTTAACGAGCGGGTGAGAGAAGGAGCGGGTGAATGAAAGAGTAGTGAGCCAAGGAGTAGTGAGTAGTGAATCAAAGAGGAGGTGAGTCAATGCCGACGTTAACCAAGGCTGGCGTTGGCTATTCACACTCGCCTCCAAGAATCACTCGTTCTTCCCCTCTCACACCCATGCGATCAGGTGGCTATTCACGAGGCCATGGAGCAGCAGACGATCTCCATCACCAAGGCAGGGATTCAGGCCACCCTCAACGCACGCACGTCTATCCTCGCCGCTGCCAACCCCACCGGAGGACGATACGACCGCTCTAAACCCCTCAGAGTAAGCAACTCAGAGTATGCTCGTTGTTTGCATGGAATGTCTCAAATCAAGCCACCCTCAACGCACGCACGTTTATCCTCGCCGCTGCCAACCCCACTGGGGGAAGATACGACCGCTCCAAACCTCTCAGAGTAAGCTGTCAGAATAGGCGGTTTTGAGTAAGCTTGTTCTCTTTATGACAAGATTCAAGACATGCCTTGAATCCTCACCATCAACGGATTCACACCATCAACACACGCACGTCAATCCTCACTGCTGCCATGCCAACCCCACCGGAGGACGATACGACCGCTCTAAACCCCTCAGAGTAAGCTTATTCTGCCACCAGCCATCCTAACTCGGTTTGACCTGGTCCATGTGACTCGGTTTGACCTGGTCCATGTGACTCGGTTTGACCTGGTCCATGTGACTCGGTTTGACCTGGTCCATGTGACTCGGTTTGACCTGGTCCATGTAACTCGGTTTGACCTGGTCCATGTGACTCGGTTTGACCTGGTCCATGTGACTCGGTTTGACCTGGTCCATGTGACTCGGTTTGACCTGGTCCATGTGACTCGATTTGACCTGGTCCATGTGACTCGGTTTGACCTGGTCCATGTGACTCGGTTTGACCTGGTCCATGTGACTCGGTTTGACCTGGTCCATGTGACTCGGTTTGACCTGGTCCATGTGACTCGGTTTGACCTGGTCCATGTGACTCGGTTTGACCTGGTCCATGTGACTCGATTTGACCTGGTCCATGTGACTCGGTTTGACCTGGTCCATGTGACTCGATTTGACCTGGTCCATGTGACTCGGTTTGACCTGGTCCATGTGACTCGGTTTGACCTGGTCCATGTGACTCGATTTGACCTGGTCCATGTGACTCGGTTTGACTTGGTCCATGTGACTCGGTTTGACCTGGTCCATGTGACTCGGTTTGACCTGGTCCATGTGACTCGGTTTGACCTGGTCCATGTGACTCGGTTTGACCTGGTCCATGTGACTCGGTTTGACCTGGTCCATGTGACTCGGTTTGACCTGGTCCATGTAACTCGGTTTGACCTGGTCCATGTGACTCGGTTTGACCTGGTCCATGTGACTCGGTTTGACCTGGTCCATGTGACTCGGTTTGACCTGGTCCATGTGACTCGATTTGACCTGGTCCATGTGACTCGGTTTGACCTGGTCCATGTGACTCGGTTTGACCTGGTCCATGTGACTCGGTTTGACCTGGTCCATGTGACTCGGTTTGACCTGGTCCATGTGACTCGGTTTGACCTGGTCCATGTGACTCGGTTTGACCTGGTCCATGTGACTCGGTTTGACCTGGTCCATGTGACTCGGTTTGACCTGGTCCATGTGACTCGGTTTGACCTGGTCCATGTGACTCGATTTGACCTGGTCCATGTGACTCGGTTTGACCTGGTCCATGTGACTCGGTTTGACCTGGTCCATGTGACTCGGTTTGACCTGGTCCATGTGACTCGGTTTGACCTGGTCCATGTGACTCGGTTTGACCTGGTCCATGTGACTCGATTTGACCTGGTCCATGTGACTCGGTTTGACCTGGTCCATGTGACTCGGTTTGACCTGGTCCATGTGACTCGGTTTGACCTGGTCCATGTGACTCGGTTTGACCTGGTCCATGTGACTCGGTTTGACCTGGTCCATGTGACTCGGTTTGACCTGGTCCATGTGACTCGATTTGACCTGGTCCATGTGACTCGGTTTGACCTGGTCCATGTGACTCGGTTTGACCTGGTCCATGTGACTCGGTTTGACCTGGTCCATGTGACTCGGTTTGACCTGGTCCATGTGACTCGGTTTGACCTGGTCCATGTGACTCGGTTTGACCTGGTCCATGTGACTCGGTTTGACCTGGTCCATGTGACTCGGTTTGACCTGGTCCATGTGACTCGGTTTGACCTGGTCCATGTGACTCGGTTTGACCTGGTCCATGTGACTCGATTTGACCTGGTCCATGTGACTCGGTTTGACCTGGTCCATGTGACTCGGTTTGACCTGGTCCATGTGACTCGGTTTGACCTGGTCCATGTGACTCGGTTTGACCTGGTCCATGTGACTCGGTTTGACCTGGTCCATGTGACTCGGTTTGACCTGGTCCATGTGACTCGGTTTGACCTGGTCCATGTGACTCGGTTTGACCTGGTCCATGTGATCCTAGACACACCAGACGCATGGTGTGTCACCACTACTCCCTCTGCACCATGCCCTTGCTCCTCTTACCTTCCACTTACCCCACCCCTCCCCTCCCATGATCCCCTCTCCCCCTTACCCATTCCCCATGTCAGTACAACGTCGCTCTGCCACCAGCCATCCTGTCTCGATTTGATCTCGTGCATGTCATGCTGGACACGCCTGACCCCGTGCACAACTACTCTGTCGCCCGCCACATCCTCACTCACTCACTCTGCACCATGCCCTCTCTGCCCTTGCCCTCCTTGCCCAACCCTCCCCTCTCAGTACAACGTGGCTCTGCCACCGGCCATCCTGTCCCGCTTCGACCTGGTGCATGTCATGCTGGACACGCCTGACCCAGTCCATGATTACTCCGTGGCCCGCCACATCCTGAGTACCTTGAGAGGGCCTCATTATTGCCTTGCTCCTTGCATCTCCGCTGCTCACCCCCTCCCCTTCCAGTACAACGTGGCTCTGCCACCAGCCATCCTCTCCCGCTTCGATCTCGTGCATGTCATGCTCGACACGCCAGACCCTGTGCATGACTATTCAGTGGCGCGCCACATCCTGAGTGTGCACCAGAGTCGGGACCAAGCCTTACAGCCGGAGTTCTCAACGCTGCAGCTGCAGAAATACATCAAATTCGCGCGCTCAATTCGCCCAGAGGTGAGTGTGGGTGTATCCCTGAAACTCGTCACAGCACGCATGCAACATGCACACGTGTGTCTCTGGTATAGCCTATGGGGATACAGCAGGGAGACTCTGGCACATCCTGAGTGTGCATCAGAGCCGGGACCAAGCGCTACAGCCGGAGTTCTCAACGCTGCAGCTGCAGAAGTACATCAAATTCGCGCGCTCCATCCGCCCAGAGGTGAGTACCCTGAACTCATCGCAGTGTGCACGGCAGCATGTGTCTGTCTGCTGAATCCCAGAGACTAAAGTTTAGTCCAAGGGCGTGCAGCAACTTTTGAGGTGCCTCAAAAGTCGACCAGAGGTGAGTACCGGAGACTCTGGTATATTCCAGGGGCATGCAGCAGGCAGGCTGTGGTATACGCATAGCCCAGCAGACGGCAGCACATTCTCACGGGGCAGCAGAGAGACTCTGGGGTAGGCGCCGCAGGCAGACCCCGCCACATCCTCATGCTGCACCAGAGCCGGGACCAGGCCTTGCAGCCGGAGTTCTCAACGCTGCAGCTGCAGAAGTACATCAAATTCGCGCGCTCCATCCGCCCAGAGGTGAGTACCCTGAACTCATCACAGTGTGCACGGCAGCATGTGTCTGCTCTGCTGTATCCCAGAAACTCCTGGTAGAGTCCAGGGGCATGCAGCAGACAGGTGTCAAAACCCGTCTAGTTGAAGCCTACGTGTCGTTGAGGCAGGGTGATGCCGCCGCCCCGGGGTCGCAGTTATCGTATCGAATCTCTCACTCCTGCTTATCCCCATCTCCTCATTCCCCTTATCTTTCCCCTCCATCAGATCACAGAGGAAGCCAAGACCCGCCTAGTAGAGGCATACGTGTCACTCAGGCGAGGGGATGCAGCCCCGGGGTCGCAGTCGTCGTACCGAATCACGGTGCGACAGCTGGAGGCTCTCGTGAGGCTGTCAGAGGCGCTGGCTCGCCTGCACCTGGACTCACAGGTGGGTGAAGCGGTGGGGATGGGTTGGGATGGGTGAAGGGGGGGGGTTGGGCGAGTGATTGATGCATAAGTGGTGAATTAAAGTGTGTTGTGAGGCGCCCGTGCTGCTGTCAGAGGCGCTGGCTCGGTTACACCTGGACTCACAGGTGAGTGAAGCGTGTGGGGATGGTTGAAGCTGTGTGGCTAGTGCATAGGTTGGCACCAATGCAATGCCTGCAATGCAGTGCGACATCGGCAGGCTGTATTGAGGGTGTTAGGGGCCCTGGCTCGGCTGCACCTGGACTCACAGGTGGGCGAAGCGGTGGGGATGGGTTAGTGTGGATGGGTTTCGATGCCTTGTGAAGGACTCGTGCGGCTGTCAGATTCCGTGGTTGGGGTGTGCACCTGGACTCACAGGTGGATGGAGTGATGGAGATGGGTGCGTGGTTGTTACTGATGGGTGCAGCGCAGTGTGGCTGGGGTAAGGGTCTGAGTGCGCGATTAACAGAGCTTGGCTCATCTGTAGCTGGACTCACAGGTGGGTGGAGCATGGGTGGAGTGTGTGTGGGTGGATCTGCGATCGGCTTCCCTATATAAGGACTTGAACCGAGCGGTGCTGAAGGCGGTTCCCTGGATTAACAAAGAAAATCAGAATAGAAATGTGCGTGAGGAGGGTATGGACGATCGGGCATGCGAAGGGCATTATTAAACATTTGTGGGAGATAATTTTTTATATAAAGCTCAATTTGTTTTTACGTTCTCGGCAACCGTCAGGGCTTAAACCCTGTACTCCATATCACACTGCGTCTCCAAGGCTTCCTTGTGTGTATCCAGCACTCGCGTCTGCTCTACCTCTCTAAGTGGAGCATCGATCCCATTTGGAGCATCGCGAGGCCTTCTTGGCTTCCGCTCGTATGGAGTCGATGCTCCACTTAGGGAGGTAGAGCAGGTGCGAGTGCTGGATACACATAAGGAAGCCTTGGAGACGCAGTGCGATATGGTGTACAGGGTTTAAGCCCTGACGGTTGCCGAGAACGCCGAAGATTATTTGTGCTTTATATCACGAATCATCTCCCACAACTGTTTAATATTGCCATTCGCACGCGTGATCGTCCATCCCCTCCTCACATGCACCTTTATTCTGATTTTCTTTGTTGAACCTGGGAACCGCCCCCAGCACCGCCCGGTTCAAATCCTTGTACAAGGAAGCCGATCGCAGACCCGCACACAGTAGCAATGGCGCGTATTTTGCTTCCTTAGCCGCATATTCTGCATGTCGTGACCTTCGCCCCCAGATACGCGCTGACGACGCAGAGCTGCTCGCTATTGCCGTAATTTTCATTCCCGCAGTGTAGTTTTTGCATGTCATCTTCCTCCAATTTTCACCCATCTCACCTCCCATTCCATCTTTTCCAAACCTGTCTGATTCCACTCCCACCCCCCATGTGCTCCCCGACCAATCAGGTGAAGCCAGCTCATGTGCGAGAAGCCAAGAGGCTACTGAGCACGTCCATCATCAGGTGAGCTGGCAGTTGACTGGCGGTGAGTGAGTTGACTGCAGACCCACAGTGTATGTGTGAATGTGTTGTCTCATTGGGATGTGTGGGGTGCGCATGTTTCAATGTTTACTTTCTTTGAGGCGTCTCAAACAACTGTGGACTCGTGTGTGCGACGCCAAAAGGCTGCTGAGCTGAGCACATCCACTCTCAGGTGGTTTGGTGGAGTGGCTGTAGTGTGTGTGGAATGTTGTGGTGTGTAGAATGGTGGGATGTGTTGTTTGGACAACCTTTGAGACGTCTCAAAAGACATTCATCATCAGGTGCGTTGGCAGCGGACTCGCTGTGTGTGTGAGTGTAGAGTGTGTATGACAGTTAGACAACTCGTACCCCTGCCTTGTTCATTGTCCCCTGTTGACTTCTGTTCCCACGTTGACTAGGACCCCTTTCGTTTTGGAAGCACCTTCCCCTGTTGACTCCCGTTGACCCGTGTTCGCTCCTATGTCCCCCTCCTTGACTTCCGTCGACCCCTGCTGACTGCCACATCAGCATTGACAGCCATGACGTGGACCTGGAGGACGAAGGGGCGAGTGGGGAGGGGGAGGAGGGGATGGAAGATATGCCGTTCATGATGGGGGGAGAGGATGGGGGCGATGGGGGAGGGGAAGGGGGAGGGGGAGGCGGAGGGTCTGGGGGAGGGGGAGGCAGTGCTGGTGATCGTGGTGGTGGTGGGGGAGGAGGGGGAGGGGGAACAGAGGCATCAGGAGGGAGGGAAGATATGGAGACAGATGGGGGGGCGAATGGGACTACAGAAACTGAGGTAGGAGGAGAAGGAGGAGGGGGAGGGGGATCAGATCAGCAAACACAACCGGGAGCAGGTGATACAGCAAGAAAAGGCAAGGAGAAGAAACAAGGAGGAGCAGCAGCAGCAGCAGAGGACAAGGCAACGGAAGGGGACGCAGCAAATGGGAGTGAAGACAAAGAAGCGAGCCAGAAGAAGACAAAGCCCGCCGCCCCTCTGCGCGTGCCGTACGACAAGCTGCAGCGCGTGACGGCGCTGCTGGTGACCTACATAAGACAAAAAGAGGCGGAGGAAGCTTCCGAGGAAGCTTCACTGGCAGGGTCAGAAGGAGCCGGTACAGGCGAGGGTGGGGAGGAGGGGGAGAGGGGAAGGGAAGGAGGGGGAGAAGGAGGGGAGGAGGACGGGGGGAAGAGGAAGAGGAGGCGGGTGGAGGGAGTGCAAGGGGGTGTGGGGGGCGGGGGGGTGAAGCAAGGGGATGTGATGCGATGGTACATGGAGCAGCAGAGCCAGGCAGGGACGGTGGACTCAGTTGGGAATCTGCTGCAGGAATTCAGAGTGCTCCGATCTATCATTCAGGTGGGACAGCCCCCCCCTTTGTTGCACCATACAGCGTCTTATGGTGATGTGGATGGCTCTGTTTGGGGATTCTTTTGCCTCTGCAGGATTGGATTTATTTCTTTTGTGTCTTCTGTTTCCCACTCCATCTGTGCCATTTCTGTCTGGACCATTTTTATATGGACCTTTTCTTTCAATGCCATTTCCATTTCTGTCGTTTCACAGCATTTGATTCGTCGAGAGGGAGTGCTGCTAATTCTAGACGATGGGACTACAGCCGTGGAAGCTGCCAGGAAGGAGCGGGAGGATGCAATTGCTACTGCAGAAGCAGCAGGCGAGCCTCTTCCGACATTCGACAAGCCTCTGCCTACGGCTCTGGAGGAGCGGGTGCTAGCTGTGAACCCCAACTATGTCCAAGAATAAGCGTATTTGGGAGGTTTCAATGCCAAATACGCTCAATACTCTGCTGAACAACGCTGCGGGCAAATCAGGATATACAAACGAACATTGACTTGGGGGTGCAACTGTCTACACAAAGACTAGATAATGTCAAATACCTCCACAGGACGGCAGGGAATGGTTAAGTGAAGCCTATTTCTACTGGATAGTAGGAAATACCGCTCATGTGCTGATTGCTTTGTTGATCTGAAAGTGGTTGGTTATTTCTCCGAAGCTCCCTCAAAAGACTTGCTAGCATTGTGCTACTTACTGACAGAATTGTACACAAATGCACTAGTCTACACCGCTGTACAAGCGACAAACGCGTACAATCTCGGCCTTCAATCTCCTGCCCCAATTCCGCCCCATTTCCCCTATTCCCCATGCCCCGCCTCGTTACTCGCTGCTGTGCTCTGAACCTGTGACGCAGGCGACCCCTTCTCCACGCCTCCGTTAGTCTTCGCGGTGAAGCTCTGCAGCGCCGCGGCGTCTCCACCAGTCACCTTAGACGGCGCAGCCGCCGCTCTCTGCGCCTCAGCTGCGGCGGAGCCCTTCGCCACCGTTCCGCCGCCCATCTTCGCGGAAGAGCTCTGGATCTGTGCGGCTGTCTTGCCGGAAATCGGGGCGCTCGTACTGGTCCCGCCTCCGCCGCCTTTGCCTTTCTGAGCGTTAGAAGAGCCATGATAGGCCGCGATTCGGACGAAACGCCCGTATGTGAAACTTGACCGTCGCACGGGTGCCATTAGAGTCGCCATTTTTCCGAAGGTCGAGAGTAGCCACTCGAGTTGTGAAAGCAAATGCATCTAAAAAATGTGGCCCTTAAAATTGGCAGTTTACAGCCATAATCGCCATTCATATGGCGGGTTTGTGGCTTGGAATTGGCGGGCTGTACGCAGGCCGCTTCGTAGGCGTTTCGGCCCCGTGAATTGCCGGGCTTGTGAATTAAGAAAACAGGAATGAATGACTAAGGGAAAGTTGGGTACAAATACAAACCCTAGAAAAACTGTACCCCATATGTGCTACCCCACTATAGCCTACAGTAGCTCTGTCATATAAATCTGACACACCCCCATAGGCAAAGTGGGGGAGAACAAGGGGTCACAAGACCAGTCAAGCAAAGCAAAGCAAGCTCAGGGTGGATCACTAAGTCACCACACATTCTGAGCACAAGTTCAAGGCCACAAGGCCAGTTCACATGCAGGATTACATATATATATAAGGCTAGACAAGCAAGAGCACGTGTATATATATATGCAACAGTACAAACAAGGTCAAGGGGTGAGCAAGTGAGGCAAGGTAGGCACAAGGCCCAGCTGAGTACAGAAACGCTGATGATCACAAGGCGCAAGTGCCTTGGTGAAGATATCAGCAGTGTTGGCCTGAGAGGCCACGTACGCAAGTCGCAGCTGACCACGCTGCTGTAGCTCACGAGCAAGGAAGTAGCGGAGAGCAATGTGCTTCGTTCTGTGCTCCAGTCTCTGCTCTCGACACAAGGCCAGCATGGCCTTGTTGTCTACGTACAGCACTGGAGGAGAACGAGGCGGCTCTCCGAGGTCAGTCAGCAGGTAGGTGAGCCAGCGAAGCTCCTGTGCAGCCATGGCCCCAGCGTAGATCTCAGCCTCGCAACTGGAGCCGAGAACAGAAGACGAGCGGGTAGCCCGCCACGAAACAGAACCGGAACCAAGGCTGAAGGTGTAACCCTGTGACGACCGCTGCGTAGCCTGGTCGTCAGCCCAAGAAGCGTCTGCGTGCCCAGTGAGGACCACTGGACTCTGCCCTCCAAGCACAAGCCCCATGCCCGACGTACTGCACAAGTAGCGCAACACCCTCTTCACTGCAGCCATGTGCTCGGGTATGTGTCTCCCAGGAGCAACATAGCGTGCGAGAATGCTAAGAGGGTATGCAAGGTCAGGTCGTGTGCAGGTCATCAGGTACATGAGGCAGCCAACAAGCTCTGGGTACGGGCCACTCGACTCTACGGACTCATCCGAAGGCAGAGCTGAGAGCGAGTGGCGAGTAGGCAGAGGAGTGGCCTGAGGCGAGGAGTACGTGAAGCCGAAGCGCTGAAGGACCTGCTGCACCATGTGTGACTGAGTCAGGGTAATGGTGCGGCGTGCTCTGTCCCGGGTGATCTGCAAGCCAAGGTAGCTGCGCAGTTCACCCAGGTCTGTGCACGTGTGTCTCTTCTGCAGCTCGGACTTCACGTGGGCGAGTCCAGCAGTGTCAGCTGTGGCAAAGACCAAGTCGTCGACGTACACGAGGATGTAGAACGGCGGCAAAGAAGTGTCGGCGCGCAGAAACAGCGACGGGTCGGCAGTAGAGGGAGCAAACCCAAGAGCCGCAAGTGTAGTCCTCAGTGTGTCGTGCCACTCACGCGGTGCCTGGCGGAGACCGTAGACTGGCCGCCGGAGGCTCCACTGGGTGCCAGGAGGAAAAGACCCAGTGAAGCCAGGTGGGCGACGCAGCCGGATCTCCTCGTGCAGGCTACCCTGCAAGAAAGCAGTGCTGAAGTCAAGAGAGTGTAGCTCGTAGTCGCGGTGAGCAGCTACGTGCAGCAGTACCCGAAGAGTGGTCATCTTCGGGGTGGGAGAGAAGGTCTGAAAGTAGTCAACTCCCTGCCGCTGACTAAAGCCACGAGCCACGTAACGCGCCTTGAAGACAGGCGGAGAACCCGGCGGCCGCTTCACCCTGAAAATCCACATGCCACTGACGATGTTCGCCCCAGGCGGGGGAACCTCGTCGACGTAGGTGCCTGTGGACTTCCAGGAAGCCATCTCTGCGTCCATAGCTGCCTGCCACTGAGAGGAGTAGGGACCCTCTATCGCCTCCGCGTAAGAGCGCGGAGTCGGGATGTCAAGTGCATCCGGGTCTCCCTCAGGGGTAAGCAGTACGGACACGAGATGAGGTGAAGCAGCAGCCAAACACTGGAACTCCTCCTGCCTGTCCTCAAGGACGTCCGTGCCAAGGGCACACTCACCCCCGACGGACGGAGGACAGACAGACTCAGCAACAAGACTAGCAGCGTAGTCTAGACGACAGCGAGCAGCAAAGTCGACGAGCTCAGTAACTAGGGCAGACGCAGCAGTGGACTCAAAGGAAGGGTCAGTGACAACAGTAGCAAGGAGACGTGTGACAGTAGGACTGGCAGCACGAAGAGAGTCCGACTCCGGGTCAGGAAGAGCAGGAAGAGAGGACTCAGGAGGAGAAGGCAAAGGGGCACGCAGAGGAGCAGTGGACGGACGCAGAGACATCCGGTGCGTGCCAGGGACAGGAGGAGGACGCTGACGCGAACCACGACCACTAGTGCGAGCAGCACGGACAGGCGACGCAGGGCGGGACGCAGGCTCACGACGCTCAGCAAGACCTCCAGTAGGACCAGTGTAGGGAGAGGGAGCGGGCAGTGGGGAGGCCGGCTGTAACTGGAACTGTGACGGGACAGGCTGTGGACACTCTAAGGGAGGAGGAGGACCAGTGGAGGACATGGGGGGGGGGTTCTTGGCGCAGAACTCAGCAGGAAGCGCAGCGCGGTAGCGAGTGTCACTAGTGCGGAGGTGCGTAATGAGGTCAGCGACTGTGGGAAAGGCAGCAAGGTCAGGGAAGAGGTACGGTAGCATGAGGCGGCTCAGTGCAGCAGTGGCAGGGGAGGAGTAGCGTGCAACTACAGCGTCGTACAAGGTCTGAGCACTCTTGTACTGGCTAAAGTGCGCACGCTCAGAGGTAGGCAGGTGGCGACGCACAGCAAGACGTGCAGCAGCATCGCGCGTGGCCCACTGTGAGCGAACAGTGGCGTCAGCATCAGCAGCGGGGGCAGGAGAGGCACCAGAAGTGAGGTCAAAGAGGGAGAGGCCGTCTGCCCTGTCGCACTGTAAGAAAAGCTGCAGGTCATCTATCCAGACATCAAAGTCAATGGCCCGACCCTCAGCGTCAAAAGCGAGGACACTAGGGGTAGCCATGACAGTAGTAGACTAGCAGCGCAAACAGTAGGGTGAGGGCAGTGCTGTGACAGGGGCGCTGCTCTTACCGGACAGGGCGGCTCGGGTGGCTCGGCTGCAGGGCGGCTCGGCGGCTCGGCTGCTGGGCGGCTCGGCGACTCGGCGGCTCGGTTGCTCGGCGGCTCGGCGGCTCGGCTGCTGGGCGGCTCGGTGGCTCGGCTGCTGGGCGGCTCGGCTGCTGGGCGGTTCGGCGGCTGGGCGGCTCGGCTGCTGGGCGGCTCGGCGGCTCGGCGGCTCGGCCGTTCGGCTGCGACTGCTGCTGCAGAGACGGCGGCGGCTGCTGCCTCAGGGACGGCAGCGGCCGGCCGCTAGGGGCCGCGTCAGGTGCAGGAGAGGGCCGCGTCAGGGGCGGCGTAGGGGCCGCGGAAGGGGCGGCGAAGGGGCCGTGTCAGGGGCCGCGTCAGGGGCCGCGGCAGGGGCCGTGGCAGGGGCCGCGTCAGGGGCCGCGTCAGGGGCCGCGGCAGGGGCCGCGGCAGGGGCCGCGTCAGGGGCCGCGTCAGGGGCCGCGTCAGGGGCCGCGTCAGGGGCCGCGTCAGGGGCGGCGTAGGGGCCGCGTCAGGGGCCGCGTCAGGGGCCTCGTCAGGGGCCGCGACAGGGGCCGCGTCAGGGGCCGCGTCAGGGGCCTCGTCAGGGGCCGCGGCAGGGGCCGCGTCAGGGGCGGCGTCAGGGGCGGCGTAGGGGCCGCGGTAGTGGCGGCGGAGGGGCCGCGTCAGGGGCCGCGTCAAGGGCCGCCTCAGGGGCAGCGTAGGGGCCGCGTAGGGGCCGCGTCAGGGGCCGCGGCAGGGGCCGCGTCAGGGGCTGCGTAGGGGCCGCGTCAGGGGCCGCATTGGGGCCGCGTCAGGGGCCGCGTTGGGGCCGCGTCAGGGGCCGCGTAGGGGCCACGTCAGGGGCCGCGTTGGGGCCGCGTCAGAGGCCGCGTAGGGGCCGCGTCAGGGGCGACGTAGGGGCCGGGTAGGGGCCGCGTAGGGGCCGCGGAGGGGTCGCGTAGGGGCC